CTCTTCAAATCGCCTCAAAATCAAGGAAAGGCCGAAATGAGGAGAGAAGGTTGGGTGTGGTGTTGGTTTGGTGAAAAATCAACCAAGAATGGCCAAAAAAAACGCCAAAAAAGTGATAGGGCGCGGTTTTCCGGCGAGGGGGGAGAGGATTCCGGCGAGGGGAAGATGTTTTTCTGGCAAACGCGGACGTGCAGGCCGAATTTATAGGCCGCAGGGTCGCGACACGGGCAGGCCACACGGCCGTGTGGAGCGGGTTTTTGCCCGTGTGGCGCCGAGAATTCCACACGGGCTGGCCGAGATTTTCACACGGCCGTGTAGCGGCCCCCTGCTGCCCGTGTGGAAGTTCCAGGGCCTTCACACGGCCAAAGGGCAATTCCACACGGCCGTGTTGAATTTAGGCCTGGCCGTGTGGAATTCCAGAGCCCTGGTTTTGACCTATTTTCGCGCAAAATCGACATCTGAACCTTGGACAACACCTCAAGACTCAAAAACACAAACACTACAAAAAAGCCAGGCAGTTGTGACGAAATTTTACTGACGACTATAAAAATGCGTCCAGAAAAATTAATAATTCCGACAAAAAACAATTTTCGTCTGTAATAATGAAATTATTACTGACAGATGTGATTTTTTGTTAGAAATAGTATTTTTTTCGTCAGTAAAATGTTTTTTACCCCACTTTTCATTTTTCACGGGGATTATTTTTGACGACTTCATATTACGCGTTAGAAATAATCATTATTACTAACCAACAAAAATATGTCGTCAGAAAATATAATTATTATTGACGTCAAAATACCGATCGTCGAAATTAAATTTTTAATTTTGACGGAATGAATTTTTTGTCATAAGTAATTGGTCAGAAAATGTTCTTTTTTTTACAACACCAAAAGTTCATCAATACTAATTGGTCAAAAAAAACCAATTGTTACGCCATAAACACTTCGTCGGTACTATTTGGTCAGAAAAAATTCTTTTTTTACAACAGTAAAATTTCATCAATAATATTTGGTCAGGAAAACAACTTTTCTGATAATATAAAAATTACGTCAATAATTTTGGTCAGTAAAACACATTTTCTGATATCATAAACACATTTTTGACGCAATAAGCATTTCATCAGTACTATTTGGTCAGGAAAAGTTTCATGACCACAGTTTGGTCAGGAAAAATAAAAATTTTTACGCCATAAAATATCGTTAATAGTAAATGGTAAGCACAAATACATTTTGTACACCATACACAAGAATGACATGTTTTAGAAATGATTATTGAATCAATATATATATACAAACACATAGTAAGCACTGTTCTATGAAAAATATAATGGAAATTATATAATATATATTTCGATCTACAAAGACCAAATTAGTCATACTTAATCTTCGAACCCTGCTCTAGTCCAGTTTAAGAGATCATCTCCCTCGGTTTGGAGTACCCTAGGATCATCAATTAAAATATTGTCTTCTTGATAGGCTTCGTCTAATGCTCCTTCTCCTTCTCCTTCCGTATTAGATGGCATCGCGAACAAATTTCTTGGTCGCGTTTCAACCACAATTTCCCAATTTGGATCTCTTAAAGATTGCACATAATAAACTTGAATTGCTTGACTAGCCAGAACAAATGGCTCATATGTTCTAAGCCTTCGCATTGTGTTGATGGTAATAGTGCCATGTCCATCTTTCCTGTAACTAATGCCTTCGCGAGCGGTGTCATACCACTCTCACTGAAATAATACAACATGAAACCCTTCCGTATAACGAAGCTCGATGATATCGGTGAGAACGCCATAGTAATGAATTCCACCATCGTTCTCCCCTCTCACCATCACACCACTGTTTTGACTGCTTTTGGTTAACTCGCGAGAACGAGTGTGAAATCTGAATCCATTGATACAATATCCTGAGTAGTGCAGGATTCGTTTGTCTGGCTCTCGAGCTAAAGATAACAAAGAAGGATTCAAACTTGACACTTTATTATTATGCATTCGTGTAATCTGCAAATAATTGCAAGGATAAACTTAAAATTAGCTTGCGATAATTTTTAAATATGAAAATTCTTTATTATATATGACATGTATGTACCTCGAATAAGAACCACTTAGCAAATTCTTGCTTATGCACTGCTTCAACCATACGAACACCTCGATTGCTTAGTTGTTCCTTGTGAGTTCTGTAATTAATATAATTAAAATAAATTATATTCTAGCATACAATAAATAAATAAGTATTGGTATATATTTATATGTACCTTATAAAATCATGCACCTCATCACAGTTTTGTAGGACATAAGAAGTTGCCGCCTTCCACAAATCAGTATTGAAGTCTCTCATGTCGTCCTTCACACCAATGACACGACCGACACCCGGAACAACTGATAGGTCATGAGATGGTTGCGACGACGATGAAGATTTATCTACATTTCTCTCTGGCCGATTAAATATAGTATCCATTCCAGTCAAATATTGCGAGCAAAATGTGACACATTCATCAACAATATAAGCTTCGACGATTGATCCCTCTGGACGTGCCTTGTTACGAACGTAACCTTTTAACTTCTTCAAATACCTAAATTGTTTAAAAATTGTCAAATTAACTACACAAAGTTTCCAAAATGTCAGTATATATAATAATTTAAGTGTAGTTATATATATAGCATACCTTTCAATAGGATACATCCAACGATAGTAAACTGGACCAGTGTGTCCGATATGACATTCGGAAATAAGTCACGGGCGGATAACGGTAATAACCTCTCCAAGAACACATGACAATCATGAGTTTTCATCCCAGGTATCTTTCGATCATTAACATTGACACATCGTGCCAAACTTGTGGAGTAAGCATCAGGTACCTTAACTTTTGATAGCCACTAACACAAGGATTTCTTCTCTGCCGCCATCAAGCTATATGCAGCTCTAGGTAACTCTGTTTTCCCATTCCTCTCAACAGGATGAAGATCTTTCCTTATACCCATCTCCTCCAAATCACGACGTGCACTTAGACCATCCTTTGTTTTGCCCTCAATATTCATAATAGTACCAAGAATACTATCACATACATTTTTCTCTATATGCATGACATCCAAATTGTGGCGTACTAAGAGCGATGACCAATATGGCAATTCAAAGAAAATAGACTTCTTTTTCCAGTTATGAGTTTTGCCAAACCCATTGATTTTTTTGCCTTTTCCCTTAATGCCGAAAGGTATAGTTTGTAAAGAGAGAAGTTGATTTTTTACCTCTTCGGATGATAATCGCTCTGGTGCACGTATTTTTTCTACAGTGTCCTTAAACTCCTTCTTTTGCTTGCGCCATTTATGATCCAATGGCAAAAAACGGCGATGATCCATGTAACATTCCTTGCATCCTTTATTCAACCTCAAATGTGAGGTGTTCCCTGCGCAGGAAGGGAATGCCAATTTGCCTTTTGTACTCCAACCAGAAATGAGACCATATGCAGGAAAATCATTGATAGTCCACAACAATGCAGCTTTCATGTTGAAATTCACTTGCTTGAATGCATCATAAGTCATTATTCCCTCACTCCACAATGACTTCAGATCATCAATGAGTGGTCGCAGGTAGACATCAATATTGTTTCCTGGACTTTTCGGACCAGGAATGAGTAATGTCAATAATAGATATGGACTCTTCACGCATAACCACGGTGGGAGATTATACGGGAACAGAATTACCGGCCATGTACTATGCTTGTTATTCATGTTGCCAAATGGATTGAAGCCATCCGTTGCTAATCCCAATCGGACGTTGCGAGGGTCGGAACCAAAAGATGCATCATACTGGTCCAAAACTCTCCAAGCTTCACTGTCAGCAGGGTGCCTTAATTTGCCATCTCTGACACGTTGTTCGCTATGCCACACCATATCCTCCGCAGTTTTTCGCGACATGAATAAGCGTTGTAATCTTGGCTTTATGGGAAAATATCTTAGTATCTTGTAGGGCACCTTGGTGACTCTTCCCCTACTATCCTCCCCGTAGTAAATGACACAGTCATTTTCACAAGCATCTATTTCTTCATAATTTATCCCAAGACCACTCAACATCTTTTTTGCTTGATAGTAATTCTTCGACATTGTAGACTATGCCATAGGGAAAGTAGATCGAAGAAACTTCAATAATTGAGTAAAAGAGGTATTACTCCAAGAATTGAACCACTTCAAATGCATCATCTTCACCAGGCATGACAAACTGGTTAACTTTTCATCACAACCTTCATACAATGGCGTTTGAAAAACTGCTCTGCCTCTGCATTGGGATTCTCGGGGTCAGGATCCAAATGCGGTCTCAAATCATTCGGTAACCCCGGTATGTCATCTACATACATCTCATTACCTTCGTCTACAACATCCTCTGCATCCTCCTCTTCAGAATAATCATCGTCTGATTTCTCTCCATGGTAAATCCATTTAGTGTAATCACGTGACATTCCTCGTAGTAATAGATGTAGCTCAACTTCTCGTTTTTCCCTTATTATAACATTTCGACAATCCACGCAAGGACACTGTATTTTGTTGTCTTCGTCTTGAATATTGGAGTATGCGAATGCGATAAAATTTTGAACGCCATTCGCATACTCCATAGTTGATCTATTACGAAGCTGCATCCATGATTTATCAACACCTTCCATAACCTACAAAATAAATGTACAATATATTTTTAATTATTGCAACTTGCTTAAATGAAATATAAAATTAATAATATATATATATATATATATATTAATTGTATTAAATTTTTATTAGCAACAAAATATAAATTAAAAAGCCTACATAATCATCTGCCCCTCTTCGCTTCAATAAAACACTTTTATTTTTATTTTTTAATGTCAGCTAATCAATTAACACTATAATTTATTCTCAACAAATTAAAATGGAGAAGAAAACACTCCATATTCCCCTCTCCCCTCCTTGCATGCACTCTATTTACCCAAACCCTTAATCGATTTCATTTTTGCTCACTTACCCAAAAGATTGTGGCGATTTCAAGTTAGTCGGTGATGGAAGATTGGGGGCGCGGAGGAGACGATGATGGTATTTCCAGTTGCTGCGGCGATTGATGAACTAGGGAGCGCGAAGGCGACGTCACGGCCGCCGTCGATTGCTCCGATCGGCCGACGGATTGAGCAGCGTGGACGAGGCGATGCAGCGGGAGCCCAATCCTCTGGTGGGTCTGGGTTTCGCGGCGGATTGCGAATCGAGAGAGATGAATGATGGCAGAGAGGCGATCTTTATTCGCCGGAATCTGGGTTCCTTCGCCTTTCTTAGTCGACAGAATATAGGTTTGTTTGCTTTTTCTTTCGATTGGATGTGTACAAGCAAATCAATTTATATGCATAGATGTGGATTTGAATGTTACGGTTTGATTTCCTCAATTGAAGGTGTAAATCGAACATGCATGCACCTAGAAAGCATCTTAGAACTCTCTGAGATTGGGACTGAATCGGAATTCCAGGTAATTAGTTCGTTCTTTGCACAATGGGGTCTGTTCTGAGTTAGTTCATTGGCTTTTACTTTGATTTGGTCAATGAATGTGGGTTGTTCATCCATGGTGCAATTCTTGTTCATCCATGGGTTCTGTTTTTGGTTCGTTTTCTTTGCAATTTGGTTCATTTTTCATTCATGTAATTAGTTCTGTTCAATCCCCCCTAATTTGTCAATTATTGTTCATTCATGTATTTAAACCTTAATTGCAAAAAACGAATTAATGCATTAAATGAGTAAAACGGCAGAGAGGGATCTCTGGAACGAGATTTCCTCAGAAAAGGTAAAGAACCATAAACATGCTCTGCCTCTTCGTTAGCCTAAAAAAAAGACGGGATTTTTTTCCTTGTTTCCCACCACAACACAATAAGTACACAAAACACGCTTCATTAATAATCCCTAGTATCTATAAACACGCTTCAGTACGCAGAGCCAAATAAAGGAACCCAAAAGCCTTTCCTTCGGCATCTGCCATTCCCTCATCTCTGCCATTACTCTCCTCCCTCTAACGAATTCTGCTTCTCACTAGATGGCAAAGCAAAAGAAACGCCTCCGTTCTCAAAGCTAGAGGGAAGAATATGCACCTCGTTCACCTGTGCAGAGCAACTCTCCCTCTCCGCCTCTTGTTTCAGAGAATCAGAATTAAAATCATATGAATTAAAATCATAAGATATAGATTGATTCGTCCATAAGTCGGTAATCGAGTTGGCTCTCTAGCCACATGTTGAGACATATCATGAGCTCTAAACGAGCCAGCTCATGAGTTTAGCTCAACAAGCCACCGAGTCGAGCTAGCCCGCGAGCTTCACGAGCTGAACAAAGCTTAGCTCATGTTCGGATCATTTATTAACGAGCCGAGTTTCGAACAAGTTTTTCTCGAGTTGAACGCCGAGCTGCTCGCGAGCAGCTCGGCTCATTTGCAGTCCTAGGCACTAAGATTTTATTCTTGGGGATTTAAACTGGGCAAGTAGAAGATTTCAACTTTGATATCAATCCATGGCAATAGAATGAAGTTCAATAAATGGAGGTGCGAAACGAGGATTAAAAATTGATTTTTTTGTTGAAACATACTCCTCTTGAGATTGAAGATAGAGTGGATACAAAATTTATTGTACAATGGAGAGTGGTGCGCCTGATCTTTAGGTTTATGGTTTTTGAAGCTATCGCAACCTAATTCTATCTTAAAACGAGGAATCATCGATTGATTTACTAAAGTAGGTCGGTTGATTCCTTATTCAATCTACTAGAACTTATAGAGGAGTGTCTAATTTTGTTCCATATTACTTTGGTCGAGTCTATTAGTATATTGGAGGTAAATCTAATTTTGGCATTTGCTCTCAAGTTGTGATGGTCCCCTCTTAGCTGAGTTGTTAGCATATAGCTTACTTGAATCAACAACTTTCCATTTCTTTTTTATTAGTGGCATATTGTTCCTAAAAGGAGAGCATTGAACCTTCATGTAGGATTGCGAGGTTTAAGATTTAGTTTCAAACTATCTATATATTCTTTCTTTATGTATCATCTCGATCGAAGAATTGTCAATAAAATTAAACGGGTTGATAGACCTAAATGTAACATGAAAATGTAAATAATCAAATATAAATATTCCGGCCAACGAGCCGGGTTATAAGCTAGTTAGGGAACAACAACTATGTAGCTGCTTATACAAAACTCGTGAGAGGGAGAGAGAATGAGCGGAAATTAAGTAATTAACTAACCTAAGAGCATCCACATCAATGAGATTTGCTTAATTGCAAATCCTGCATGGCAATCAATATGCAATTCCAAAAGAGATTGCACAAATGTAGTGGGCAATTACAAATATGCAAGCTTACATTAAATGAAATTTAAAATACAAGCCACATAGGAAAAATAAAATAAAATCTCTCTTTTGATTTATTTATTTTATAATTATAAAATCATTTAAACTCTCATATCTGCAATTGCAAGTGAATTGCATTGATGTAGGAGCAATGAAATAAAAGTGATTTGAATTGCATAAAGTTTGAAATAAAAATATAAAATAATATAAAATCAGTTTTGTAATTTCATTAATGCGGATGCTCTAATTAATTCTTAACTAACTTATTATAATTACTAAGTAATGTACTGTATACTACAAACTTGTCTTATACCTATGCAATCGACTATCTGAACTTTTGCATTGAACTTTTGCATTTGGACAATGTGATCAGGGGTGATTTAAATGGATTAATTGATTGTGTGGTATTTGTAAGTTGAAATAAACTCATAACTTATAATTTTGGTATTTGTGTGTTAGCCGGGAAAATAAATGAATAAATTATCTTGTTGTGATAGAACAAAGAGATGAGTTAATTTGTATGTAGTATTTTGTAATAAAAACTAAAAAGTGAGATAATATCATAATTCTCTTAATAAATAGTATATTAGCCTCCATGGTATCAAAGTTAGAAATGACAATAGGGCAGGTCTGGGGGTTAATTTCACAAATATTGTTTTTTTTATATTTTACATATGGCTGATTAAAAATTATTGACACAAATATTGTGTTTTGGAGAGGGACAGCGTGTCCGCCCCACTGACACGCCAAAACACAACACCAAACTGCGACCAAGTGTAATCGCAGTCCTGGAATGCAGTAACAGGCAAGTTCTATTATCAACCCGGGGTCTAGATCTACTGCTTACTCCGTGATTGTCTATTATCTAGCCAACTAATTCGATTGATTGTTGTTTAAAGCAAAAGCAGTAAGAAAGCAGGAAATGGTTCGGTTTTCTAAAGCAAGAAAGAGTCACTCGGGAATGAGTCCCCCTAGCCCCTTGATTAGGTTCAATTGTAATTCCCCTGGGTTGATTCACTATTGATTAGAGCGGAAGACCCGACAGTAGCTTGGAATCTCTTAAGCTGACCAAGCCCTCTCAGTCTAACTACCCGGCAGACGACTAGTCTTCACCGGGATAGAAAGCTGAAGCAATAAGCACAGAACTCCACTACTGGAATTGAATTCCAGTACAAAGCAGTAAATTGTCTAACTCTCGTATAACCAATCTCCTACTATCGAATGAAGAGGCTCTAACAACCTAATCAGATTCTATCTATCTCAGGTAGCAGCAGAAATCGAGAAAAGCTGATCAGACTTCAAACAATTCAATAAACATGCATCATTCGATTAAAACCAAACAGTATAATCATCCCAAGTCATTACAATCAAATCCCTAACACAAGGAACTAGGGTTCTTCATACCCAAGTGAGAGAAAGGGTTCTACTCCATATAGAGAGAAGAGAAAACAGTAATCAGAGTAGCCATACTCATAATGATGAGGAAAATCTGCTCCGGGATGATGATTTCCACTCCTATGACGATCTCCAAGCTCGATTCGATGAAACCCAGCTCCAAGATAGCTTCTAGGATGTGTTCTTCGTACTTTCTCTCTCTAGGGCTCTGTTTTTGCTCTGAAAATCCGATTCCCTCACTTTTGGCTCGAAATTGGCTGAAAAAACCAGAATTTCCCGACTCACACAGGCAGGCCACACGGCCGTGTGGCTCACCCATTTGGCCGTGCGACCTCAAAACGCAGCGTACCATTAAGTTGGCCTTCAGCCATCTCACACGGCCAGGGTTGCACGGCCGTGTGGAATTCCTGGGTTGCCCGTGTTTGCTCTCGGCGAAAGTCACACGGCCACAATTGCAACTTGCACGGCCGTGTGACACCCAGGACTGCCCGTGTGGCTTCCTTAGAACCTCGCCATGCGTCCGATCTTCGTCAATCGACCCCAAACTCGCTCCCAAGCCTCCATTCACGTACTAGGACCTGAAATATCACCAACAAGCACAACCTAGCGTGAAATCGGCCTAAAACACGAGAATCAATACCTCAAACGGTGTAAGAACAGGGGTAAAAACATGTGTAAATAACGGTCTATCACCCACACTCAGGCGGAGCCGTTATTTGAGTTTTTTTTTAACCAATTCGAGCATGGGCGTCCGAGACTGGGCGTTGGTGCCACCTTTTGGTGGGAAATCTCACCCAACGGAGGCGCCCGAGACTTAGGCGGGTTCGCCGCCTTATCCACCCACTCCAGCACCATAAAACCAGTGATTTTACCTTCACTTGCTCACCACCAAAAAAATCGATGTTATGAAGTTAGACGAGAGAAGCTCTGGTTGCTGCAAAGATGGCTAATAGGAAAGAGACACATTTATTTTTTTAATTTATATTCTTCAAATGTTGTTATGATTTTGTTTAGTTATTAATTAGTGAGTTTGTTTCTTTATGTAGTGATTTTAGAAGATTTGAACTAGTCGTTAGGTGAAAATCGTAGAAAGTAGACGATAATTTGGGCATCCATTTCGTTGGTGATAGAAGTTTTCAGTTGATGGTGCCATCCAGGTGACATATCACAAACTTTGTGAGAATCTAATTCAGAGAATACGTCATAAAGATGAAGCAGTACAAGATAGTGATGTGATCACAAGTTTCACTTACTGTATTCCAAAATGACAGAATGGTGTTTTATTTCATTATGCAATGCATATTGTGGATGATGATAGCTTGAATGCGCTTTGAAATTTTATGACACAAAACCCTTATTGTTTGGGGGCTGAGATACATGATGAGCTCAGTGAGGATCAGGGTGGAGAGGAAGAAGATGAGAGGGAGGAGGAAGATGGGGAAGGAGAGCAGCCTAATTATCCTCCATATATTTACTTGCAGGGTAATGAAGAGGACGACGAATTATCATATGCTCATTCATATGGAGTAATTCCAATGTCTATTGTTATTGGTTATGAAGGAGAATTCTACAAGAGGCAGATATTTCACTCGAAACAATCAAACAAGTTGCACAGGTGGCAATTAAACACCACGCACTACAGCGCAACTTTCAGTATATCATGGTGCAGTCGTCACCTTCAATCTGGAAGGTAATATGCTTGAAGCACAAGGATGACAATTGTCCTTGGATGGTGCAGTTTGGATGTCGAGATGTTGGAAGTGAATGGATAGTGAGAAAGGCTG